AGGCAACCCACTGCATGTGTCATCTGTGTTGCCCCCATGACACTTGAGGACAAAAGGAAATATGCTGACATTCATGATGTTTATTGTGTCATGTGTAAAAAGTCCTTTGTCTCCGACCCAAGAGTCTTGAGTATTCTACCAATCTCCAAAAAATGATAAGTGGTAAATTTATTATGTTGTTGGTAAGGTAATCCCAGATACAGCATATATTATTTTATCTGTACATATTTTAGTATACATTCTAAGAGATAAGAACTCTTTAAAAAAACTTAGGTAAGCCCTAACCAGTTTGGCTCAGTGGATAGAGCATCGGTCTGCAGACTCAGGGGGTCCCAGGTTTGATCCCGGTCAAGGGCATGTACCTTGGTTGTGGGCACATCCCCAGTGGGGAGTGTGCAGGAGGCAGCTGATCAATGTTTCTCTCTCATTGATGTTTCTAACTCTCTATTCTCCTCCCTTCCTCTCTGTAAAGAATCAATAAAATATATATTTTAAAAAAACTTAGGTAAGAGGAATAAGTTCTGGAGAATTACTGTACAACATTGTTCCTACAGTTAACACTATTTTATTGTGCACTTAAAATTGTTAAGAGGAAAAATTTCATGTTAAAGTTCTTACCAAAATAAAAAAAAATCCTCCAAAATACTAATATCACATTTTAAAAAATACAATAATTCTTTAATAGAATTGAATATTTCTAATTGTGTTCAAATTTCTCCAATTGTTTTTATTTTTTACAGTATATTTAATAGGCATCCAAATATTTATATTGGGTGACTTGAATCTTTAAAATGTTTTATTGTAGTAAATATCTATATCTACATATATATATAAAACTAGAGGCTTGGTGCATGAAATTCGTGCATGGGAGGCGGTCCTTCCACCTGGGACCCAGGATTCCCTTCTCTGGCTGGTAACAAGCACCTGGGACCTGGGCTTCCCTCCCTCTGGCCAGCCACATGCACCCAGGACCCGGGCCGGCTTTGCCCGGGCAGGCTGCAGCCACAGGTGACCATGGGCGGGATGCTTCACCCGGGCCGCAGCCATAGGCACCCAAGACTGCGGGGCAGGTGGCTTGTCCCTCTCCCGGGCCGCAGCCTGGCTGATCCCTATTCCTCTCTCAAGAGCTCATTTTTGCCTGGCTGGTCCCCATTCCTCTCTCCCCAGTGTTGAGTGTCTGAACAGTTACGGCATGATGGCATGAGGGCGTGATGGCATGAGGGCATGATGACCATTTGCATATTAACTCTTTATTATATAGTATTTATGATTTTAACAATTATCAAGTGTATAATTCAGCGGCATTAATTACATTGGCAATGTTGTGCAACCATTATCGCTCCTATTTCCAAAACTTTTACCTCTGGGTGATTTGAATCTTTAGTATATCTTTTAATCTGCTGGTTTTCCTTTTCCCTCTCTTTGTTTTTCCTTGCAATTTATTTGTTAAAGAAAATCAGGTAATTTCTGCTATTACCTGATTTTCCCAGAGTTTGGATTTTTCTATTTCATAACTGTTTCATCAGGAGGCATATGATGTCTGGTTGTTTCTCTTTTTGTGATGTCAGCAACCATTTATGATCATTGTCTAGAAGGATCCTGTATTTTTTAAAGGTGTAAAATGGTGATATTTGAATTCTATTACTCCTTTTTAATAGCTCTAATACTTCCATAGAGGAAAGGGCATGAATGGTCCACACACACACACACACACACACACACACGCTTATTCAATCTGTCTAAACAGAATATTTTATAAGTCAGAAGACCCTATTTAGCAAACACAGTTTTATTGTGTTTGGTTTTCAAACATGAGAGAGATTTTTGTTGTTGTTGGCATTGCTGTTGTTTAATTCTCAAAGGGGCACAGAGTTTGCTCAGGACTAAAGTAGCATTTGTGGAAGAGTTAATGACTACTTCCATAGTGACATTTTCACCCTCCAAAATCATTTCTGTTACTAAGGTGGGTCTTTTGTCAAAAGATATCGTATAGTCATTTACCTGGGAAGAAAGCAATCTTAGTGTGACAAGCCATTTCAATCTCCCTTTCTTCCAAAGAAGAGTGCTGAGAGCTGGGGAGAGCCTCCTTTGCATGTGTCCCTGGTCCTTTTTTATGCCCGACCTAAAATTAATCACAGTGCTTTTTTTGGTGATGGTACATGCCAGGATGGCATATCAGAATATTTTCTTAGAGCAACAAGGAGACACATCTGTTCAAGTGAATCAGTTACCAGCTCAATTGACTCATTTAGCAGGAATAACAAATTCAAAAGCCATCATATGGACTGAACCACATGACTTCTTTGCCTCTAAAAATATTAATTAAGCTTCTCTTTTTATCCACACCATAGCATCTGTTAACTTACATTTGGTATACAGCAGTTTCTTGTGAAACTTCTGTACGCTGGGAATTATAGCTGTTGAAAGGTCATGTGACAAAACTTCTTAGAATTTTAAAATTTGGAGGGGTTCTGTGTGTGTGTGTGTGTGTGTGTGTGTGTGTGCGTGCGCGTGCATGTCCACACGTGTGTGCATGTGTCTCCAGAGAGAATAAACAAGCAAGTCATATGCATATTTGATAGTATAATATAATGTTACATTGGGGGCAACCTGCTTTTTTATATTAAAAACTAGGAGCTCAGTACACAAAATTCATGCATGGGGGGTGGGAGGGGAAGTCCCCTCAGCCCGACGTGCACCCTCTGTCACTTACCGGGACCCCGCTGCTTCAGGGCTAGGTGCGGGCCTACAGGCTCAGGGTGGCTTGGCTCCTGAGGATGCCTGTCCTGGGGACACAGGCCTTTTGGCGCTGACACACGCGCAAGCGGCTGCGGAGCAAGAACCTCCGCCAGCACCCCCGCACGCACTCTAGAGAGGCATTCGGGACAGTACCTGTCCCACCCCTGGCCTTCTGGTGCCTATGTACGCAAATTATCCCATCATCTTTGTCAGGTTAATTTGCATACCCACCCCCATTGGCTGGTGGGCGTGGCTTGCAGGCATTGCAGAGGGAAGGCTAATTTGCATGTTTCTCTTCTATTATATAAAGATAAAGGAAAGAAAAGCTCAACTAAATTAGATTGATTTGTAGCAGAATGACTTCAAGAACCCACTCTCCAAATCAAAGAAAAAAGTCCACACTCTGCGAAAGCCTGATTTCTTCCAATGTGGATAGCATGTTATATATGTTTATCGGTGCAATTTGTTTGTTTTAGTTATCTATTGCTATGAAACAAATTACTTCAAAACTTAGTGGTTGAAAACAACACAGATTTATTATCTCATAGTTTCTATGTGTCAGGAATCCGGGAGCAGCTAAGCTGGGGCCTCTGGCTCAGGGATGCCATTCAAGCTGTGGGCAGGAGCTGTATAGTCATCCCAAAGTTTGATTCTGGGAGGAGCCACCTTCAAGTTCCCTCCTGTGGCTGTTGGCAGCCCTCCAAGATCCATTTCGGAGTTCAATCACACATGGGGCTCTCTATGGGGCTGCCTGAGGCTATTTCAAGAGAAAGTATTCCAGAGAGTGCGAGGGAGCACCCCAGACAGAACCCCCCAGAGTGACATCCCATCATGCCTTTCATATTCCATTCATTAGAGAAGAGTCAAGTCCAGCCCACTCAAAAGAGGAGGGGATTGCATAAGGACATGAATCTCAGAAAGCAGAGATCACTGGGGGCCATCTTAGAGGCTGCTTACTACAGGTTCTATATTTTAAATGTAAATTTTAAAAATAGAAAACACATTGCCATAGTTAGAAATTCAAAATGTGTAAGAGGGTAAGTAGTGCCCTACCCGGTTTGGCTCAGTGGATAGAGTGTCGGCCTGTGGACTGAAGGATCCCAGGTTCTATTCCTGTCAAGGGCATGTACCTTGGTTGCGGGCACATCCCCAGAGGGGGTATGCAGGAGGCAGCTGATCGATATTTTTCTCTCATTGATGTTTCTAACTCTCTTTCCTTCTCCCTTCCTCTCTGTAAAAAATCAATAAAATATATTTAAAAAAGAAAAGATAAAGAGGGTAAGTAGTAAGTCTCCCTCAGGACTAAAGTCACCGAGTCCCCCACCCGCTGCCTTGAGCAAACTTGTCAGTTTCTTGTGTGTCCTTTCAGAGGGTCTCTGCTGGGTGTGAGTTGAAAGAGTGGAACTCCACAGGGTGCACGCAGAAAGCCACTTTAATCTTCTCCCCTCCATCCTGCCGGTTCAAACCTGCTTTGCAGGGATAATGCCACTCCACCCCTTGGCTGAAATCTGAGGTGGGCATTATGCCTGTTCATGGCCCTCTCAGATAAGGAGGAGCCCGCCCGTTATCTTTAGTCGTAACGTAGTTTTATGGCAGACGGAAAGAAAATGCTGACTAATAGCTAACTCGGAACTTTGAGGTTGAAATGTCTGCCCTTTCCTACCTTAATGCAGAGGCTTTAAGCCTGGAAGGCTGCAATGGGAAACGGTGGAAGTCTTGTGGTCAGCTTCTCTCTTTCTCTAATTTGTACTTCTCTTTCTCTTCTGCCTCCTTCTGTGTTTGTCTCTTTCTGGGAGATGGGAGATGGGAAATGAGTGAAGAGAGGTTAAGGAGCCTCCCCATTCCACTTCCCCAACCCCCAGTATCAGCTGTTTTGGCTTCTTCAGAGTTTTCCTTAAGGAAACATCCACCTGTAGCTTTTGTTAGTGTTTGCACATTCTCTCCTGCATTTAGCTTGGGCTCTCAGGGACTGGCCTTCAGTCACTTTGTGCTGAGGTCACGTCCGGAAGCCTCTTGGGCAAGGCCTCCTCTAAGACAACTTCGGGGAGGGCTGGCTTTCTCTCCCCCACAGCCTCCACCCGGTCCCGGGAAGCCCTCACACACCCTTCAGAATATCCTAGACTTTGGAAAACGAAGACTGTTCTTGCTTCTTGAGGGTTTTAATTTTTCATGCTATCTCGCTCGATTCCTTTAGGAATTACTATATCCTGGGAACAGGTCCTGTCCAATGTGTCACCCCAGGAATTAAAATCCAGAAGAGTGGACGTGTCTGCTGGTTGGTCAAATGCTTGTTTCATGTGGGTAGGAAGCGAAAAACTTTTCTTGTAGAACATACTTTCCATATGCTGAGATACCTTTGAAGACAAAATAATTATAGTAATTAAACCTATGAATTCTTTCAATAGCCCAGCATACTGTGATTGGCCACAGAGGCAGGGAGGCTGCGGTAATTTCAGGCATGGGCATCTATATAGTTTTGGGGGACACGATTCTAGGACACAGTGGCCTTTTTCTTTCTCTCAGATTCATACAGTGGTCACTGCTGTGAAACTGGCTATCAAGGTGGTAGCAACTTTCCAATTCCCATTCCTAGTTCTGCTGTGGCTCATCTGTACACATAATCTTTTCACTCTGAGTTCACTCCACCTCTCCCTTTTCAATGGTCTCACAAGAGGTCCCACAGGCACCCCCCTCCACCTTCCCCAACACCCAGCCGGTCCTTCTCCTGGCTAAAGGCTGGAATTCTTTGGACAACCTCAGCACACAGCTGGCCTGCCGTTGACTTAGTGTTGAGACAGAAATGGAGCTGTTATGACAGTTAGTGCCCAACACTAACCATTGGGCTCCTACACAAACCTGAATGGGACCCAGGGATTCTATATTCTATTCTATGTGAGCTGTGTTCACAATGTCACAGCTCAAACCCAGCATCCTCCATGTTAATACTATTTGAGTTCTCAAATACCAGTAATTCTTTTTTCCTCCTACTCCTTTCATGCTCAGTTCAGGTGTACCTTCTAAGCCTCTATTCTGGAGAAAGGGTTTCCTTCTTAGTAGGCTCTCCATATAGAATATTGCCTGTGATTCCCATTTTGGAGACTGAGAGTTTTTCTTATCCACCAAGATACCTTGTCTGAGGAACTCCTGCCTGCTCATCTCCTACGTCTTCCAGAGGTTACTCAGAATCTTCCAATTCTGCTGGTTCCGTTGGACCCCTGGACATTCCCAATCCCTTGGGCTCTACAACCACCCTGTTTGGTTGAATGTCTGGGATCAGCCGGCCACCTCCACTCCCCGACCCTCCTACCAGCTTCTGTGGAAGCCTTGTCCTGTTATGCTGGCAGATGGGGCATGGCTCTAACAGCTCAGCTGGGCTTCATGGAAGCACTTACACATATCAGATCCGAGCACAGCCTCCTGGAAATGATATAGGGGCAATGCTAATGGCAAGTGAGGAGAAGATTAGGGTGATTTGGAGTTGGCCACATTGTAAGGTCAAAAAAAAAAATCCAAAGGAATAAATCAAAACCAAAGTAAAAACCGTGTAGTGTCATTTAAGTATGCCAAGAGATGTAGCATCCTCACCAAAAGAGAAGTCACTTAAAAGTGAATACCACATTGCACCACTGTTAATTTCTTAATTTTGACAAATGTGCTATGTTATGTAAGATGTTAACATTAGGAAAAGCTGAGTGAACTCTGTACTATCTTTGCATCTCTTCTGTATCTAAAATTATTTCAAAAAAGACATTTAAAAAAGAATAACAATGAAAATATGAAAGTATTTGCATTATAAATAACGAACTTCTTTACCTTAAAATTTTTTGGCAGATAAAAATGGCTTTTGAAGAACATTTTGAAATCTCAGTTCCTGGCATAAACATGCAGTATAAAAAGATGCCCTATAACGCAGTATAAATTCTGGGAAGAATTAATTGATGCTTCATGGAAACTCTTTCTTTCAACGAATAATTTTCTACCTGTTACAGAGCTTGCATATTCTAAGGATACATGAGTCAACAAAACAAATAAAGATCTCTGCTCTCACTGGATTCCTGCATTAGCCTTCTAACAATTCTATGGGGGCAGAAGGAAATCAACAATGAACATTAACACAACCAATAAATAACCAATTGTATGATAGAAGGTGTTAGGGCTACTAGTATGAGTGGGAAAAAAGAGCAGAAAAAAGGGAGAGTAGTATGCATGAGCTGGGCTGTGTGCAATTTTAAGTAGGGTGATCAGAGCAAGCCTCACTGAGAAGGTAGAGGGAGCAAAGCATGAATCTATCCGAGGGAAGAGCATCCCAGGTAGAGAGAATGGCCCTATGGTGGAGCCTGCCTAGGTGCTGAAGTAGCATCCAGAGGTGTGTGAGCAGAAGCAGTAACTGTGTGGGAGAAAAGTAGATGAATGAGGAAGGTGAGGGTGGTGGTGGGTGGGGAGGAGTGCAAATAAGTAGGACGTTGGCTTATACCCTGAAGGAGAGGGGGAGATATTGCAAACTTTTGGTCTGTCTTAGGTACTGCATAACGAAAGGTTTCAGTCAATATTAAACCACATATATGATGGTAGTCCCATAAGATTATAATGGAGCTGAAAAATTCCTTTTGCCTAGTGATGTCATAGCCATTGTCATGTTGCATTACTCATTCGTTTGTGATGCTGGTGTAAACCTACTGCGCTGCCAATTGTATAACATCATAGCACATACAACTGTGTAAAGTACATAATACTTGATAATGGTAATACGTGATTGTGTTACTGGTTTATGTATTTACTATACTATATTTTTATCATTATTTTTAATTACAGAGAGAAACATCGATCAGCTGCCTCCTGCACATTCCCCACTGGGGATGTGCCCGCAACCAAGGCACACGCCCCCGACCGGAATCGAACCCGGGACTCTTCATTCCACAGGCCGACGCTCTATCCGTTGAGCCAAACCAGTTTCGGCTATTTTAGAGTGTATTGTTTCTATTTATAGAAAAAAAGTTTCCTGTAAAACTGTATGCCCTTGTTATGGTGGCAGCAGCCTCATGCATCTTGTGTTTGCCAAGTTTCCTGATTGTACCATTGTCTCATGTGCTTGATTTAATCCTATGTTTTGTGCAATGACATGCTGTACAGGCTTGTAGCCTGGGAGGAAGAGGCTATGCCATATAGTCTAGGTGTATAGTAGGCTATACCGTCTCAGTTTGTGAATTGCACTCTATGGTGTTCACACAGTGAAATTGCCTGAGAACACATTTCTCAGAAGTATCCCCATTGTTAAGCTGTGCATGACTGTACTAGAAGAATAATCCTTTTCTGCTTTGTGACTACGCTCTGGCGGGGCGAGGGCAGGGCAGGGAGAACAGTTAGAAGGTGAATGCAGGAACCCAATGAAAGATGACGGTGCCTTAGACCTGCAAGAACGGTGCAGATGGTGAGAAGTGGCACGCTGGAGCTGGCTTGTCCTGAGAGTCAGTTGTTACATTTTTAGGGAGTTTGCAAGCCAGTTGTGAAATATGCCATTGTTAAAAATTAAATTTTACAAACTTACAAGTAAATACATTATAATATTGCATGCAAACTGTAATAAAAATTAAATTAATAAATTTACAATTTAAAATATTATATTGGAAACGAAAGTAATAAATACCTAAAACCCATCACTTCTTAACTGTCTTTACCTAATTCTCTTATCATTCATGATCATCTCTGCTGCTGAGGTTGCTTGTGTCTCTTCTCTCCACGTGGCACTCTAAAATGGGATGCTGCTGCGCATCTCTTCCCAATTCTCTATCCAGTGACTTTACATTAAGAGTCTGTCAGCCACGGTGTGAGAATTTACACGACAGAAATTGACAGATGCTACAAATCTGGGTTCATTTTGTTTTTAAAGTGAGCTGGTTGTTAAGCATTTGCTAGCACACCGCTGCGTTGCGCCTGCCCAACTCTCCCTAGGAATGTGTGCGCCCACCCCATTCCAGTGTTTTCAGGTTCCCTCACTTTCATTATGCTCCCACCCAAAGAGGGGGAAAGAGGTTAAATAGGTATTATGAATATTACAACAGGATGAAAGTAACATATTTCCCTTAAGCTTCATACCATTAATAGATATCTGGCTGTGAAAAATCACCATACCTGCAATTGGATCTTTAGCGCCGGCCCTAGCTTTAGCCCCATAGTGCTTCGAAGGTGCTCCTCTGTGAGTAATGGCAAAGTTTCTCCATCAATTGCATGATCTTTAAATACCTTAGAAAACACAAAGGTATTAACTTTGTCTCAGTGTCTTTTTAAAAAAAATATTTTATTGATTTTTCACAGAGAGGAAGGGAGAGGGACAGAGAGTCAGAAACATCGATGAGAGAGAAACATCAATCAGCCGCCCCCTGCACACCCTCAACTGGGGATGTGCCTACAACCAAGGTACATGCCCTTGACAGGAATTGAATCCGGGACCCTTCAGTCCGCAGGCCGACCCTCTATCCACGGAGCCAAACCGGTCAGGGCTGTCTCAGTGTCCTTTAAAAAAATTCTTGTTTTATGTGCAGATATTTTAGTATTGGAGGAGACATTAAGACTGCCGGGGAATGACACAAAATTTTATAAAATTTCTCATTTCAGTTGCTCTCTCTTCTGTGTCCCAGTAGCTCTTCAATAGCCCTTGGAGTCCATTGTAATTCTCTGTTTATGGAACTCAGTTCCAGCCTGGAATAGTTAATAGTTGAGGGCAGGCCTGTGTCTTATTTACCAATGTACCTGTCCTGCCGTGACTGGAACATAGTAGAAGGTGTAAAATCAACGTTGCTGGATAGATCAATGAATGAATAGTCTGAATGAAGAGGTGTGGGTAAAAACCACCACAGAGAATTTAATCTCTCACACTTACAGGTGCACTGCTTCCCGTCCACTGCCTTAGCTGAATGGTGGGGGCGGTGGGGAAATTGCAGGTGGGAGCTGCATGACAGCATGCTGACCTTTCCAACAGAGTCTATAGTTCTGACTGTGCAATGGATGTAACCATGCCTTCCTTTCTTCCAGAAACTAGGAAGGCTGCTGCTGGACAAAGGTTCCAGACAAATAGAGATGGATAGAAAAAAGCGAAGCAGATCGGTAGCACCATAATTTCATGATCTCCAACTTCAACCTGTCTGGCAACCCTGCAGTTACTGATGAACTTTCTCTTCTCTCTATTCCAAGCTTCCTTCACAATCTTCAAACTCTAGATGTTACAGAACCCTCCCTTATTTTCAACAGATCATATAACTTTCTAATAAAAAAAAAAAGAAACCAGTAGATAAGAACTTCCTCTAGTTCTGCCCAATAAACCCCCAAACTCCTATTTTCTCCTTCTGTCCTGATATGTGGAAGAGGGGTCCCTCACTGTGGAAAGACAACCAATGTCTCCACATGTGATGTGGGTCCTCACCCCTCCCACCTCAGGGTTTCACTCGGTAAATAATCCC